AAAAAAAAAAACGCATTTTCGATGTCTTCCATGTTATTTTCAGATTTCAGGGAGTCTATTTACCCTTTAGGGGTTTGACTACTTCCTTGGATGGATTACATTTCAAGTTTTGATATTCGACTTGCCAAAGAGATCTATTATGCCGGTGAACGAATCAGTGGCAGTGTTGTGCTGGAGAATACGGAGAATATCAAGATCAAAGGTCCGTTTTTCGACGTGGTTCGTTTCCGTTGGACGTCCCGTCTTTTCCTATATGTCGACGACCATGGAAGAGGCTCATTTCAATGCCTATTCATGTCGTCTAATCGTTTTTCCCTTCGCCATCTCTGAATGTGCCCTTCTAAAGGCGATTCGCGATTTGACGATCGTCCAATTTGGGCTCATTTTCAGGAATTCGCGTACTTCTACGGGGAAAAGTTCATGCTACGTTGAAAGTCGTAAAATCCGGTGAACGACGAACAATTAAAGATGATCAATATGTGCTTGATGAGAAATTACTCATCTGGGGCAAAGGTAAAGCTCCACCTATCTTTAAAAGTTTTTCAGAAGAGTTAATTTTGATAATTATCATCACCAAATTACATTGTTCCTTCTATAATCTCCTTCTGCTCTATGATTTTCTACGAAAATAATAATTAGATCATTTACGTTGATTGCTACCTTCCCGTGATGAGCCATGCACTTAATTGTCGTTTAGAATCGTTTCTATAATTCAGGATCATTCGACATGAGGAATGGCCTATGAGGTACATCCGAACTACAGTTCAGGGTCCCTACAAACTCCCATATCAGTCCGACAGCAGCGAGTCCTAACCTACCAAAGGGAAGTCCAAAGGCTGAGCAGAATTTGAAACCCGTGAGCAATGGATACGAAATAAGGTGCAATCAGAACTGCACCCCATCCTTTTCAACAATGGCCCGCAAAAGGCTTATAGGTTTACATTGTAGGCATCCAAAAAATAAAATTTTTAGACTTCATTAGAAATAATTAGATCACCTTTTTCTCCATAGGGTTTGTTTTCGATTAGTTTCTCATATACGCTTGAACTATGTGAAAAAAGGGACGGACCACTTTCTCAAGGTTCCTGAAAGGTTTTTATCATAGTAAACACTTTTAAGTCGACTGGGGTAGCTGCAAGTGACCTATTAGTACCATTTCCATGATTTCTTGCGCTTAATCACAAGCCTAATTAAATCCCACTAGATTAATCGGTCCCCATATTTTCAGCCATATGGGGACGGGTTAATCAATACTAAACTATTTGGGGAGAGAACACAGGTAACACCTTCCAAACCAAAACCCATTTGAGGACCCTAATTTCAATCAAACACCATCGCTACTATACCAATGTGAAGTCGAGCACATGGCGCATGCTAACAAAGAAAAGTTCTTAAGGAACATGGCAGATTTCTAATAGATTTGTATAACCCCTAATTTCGAGGAATACCTTCAGAATTCCAGGGATATCCTCCCAGAATGAAAAAAAAAACTTTTTAGATGGGGCTTCAATTCCAAACTGAGCCTGACCAGATGAAGCCAAAAACGAGAAAGGGTGAAAATTCTTTGCATTAATGATTCTCCTACTTTTCTTACTCTTCAGGAGATCAGATGTAGTGCTCACTTGATACTTTTAAGAAAAGAATGAGTGGCACGTCATGCACTTGACATCTTCGGGTTAAGTCTCCTGCTGCCCGAAGAGAAAGAAGATTGTAGATATCAAGTGCATGATGCGTACACTTTTGAGCCGGGTCAATAGAGGGCCTTACTTTCGCTAACATCGTACTTTGATCGATGATTAATAGTGGCTGAATTAATCTGGGGTATTCCAAAATGTGCCATGCATTCGACTTTCAATCGAAATAAAAAAACTCATTTTAATTGAATCCGTATTTGAGGCATACTATGCCTTGCAGGGGCTACTTTTCTCCCTCAGATAATTATTTACCCACCCAAAGGAAGCCGGGATTTGATCGCGGATGGTTCTGAACTTGGATTTCTTGGAAAGCGACAGAGCTCTTACTAAAAACGTGTCACCTCTGTTCTAATCAAGCTAAGTAGCCTCTAGACGATAAAAAGCTCCTCGTGAGGGTGGGCGTGTACGTCCACCCTCCATCGGAAATTGCTGAGAAGCTTGTATGGGAAAGTGTGTTTGTGACTTTTCAATTCAATTAATTTTTATTCAGTGTTTTCTTCCTTTTTTTCCTCATTGGCCCTCTTAGGCATCCTTAAGCAATCCGTTTTCAAATAATGCAAATTATCATGAGAGATTAAGTTCCTCATTGGCATAAAAAAAGGGGGGGAGAACCCGAATCGAGGCAAGCTCCTGTGGCTCGAGAGCTTACCTAGTCCAAAACTGTCTTAGGCCATGTTCAATTAGAATGAGTATCAGTAAAAAGCCACAGGATATCCTATGAATTTGATGGGTGAAAATGGTGCAGCAACGGATGGCGCCAATACAGCACCACCCAAATATCAAATTTTGCCCAGGCCAACCGAAACCTCCATCCCAGCTCTATAGGTGTCGTCAAGGAACCGCACGTCATTGTGTGGACAAAAGATACAACAAATGTAGAGTTTCAATTCTTAATGAAAGTCATATGTATGGCGCATATTGGAAGGATTACCGTCGTTAGGTCGTCCACTAGTAATCAATGTAGTAAAGAATGCATTATGAATGTTATTTTGGGGCTCCGTCGTAATATAAGGATGAGGCCGAGTTCTTAAAAAGAGGTCGCGTCCGGTCGCTAGTCAAGCCCCTATAGATCGCACGAAACTTTTTGGGCGGTTTCAAACACCGCTTTTTTAACAAAGTTCCCTTTCAATTTATTATTTTCCAGGGATCTAGAAATCATAGCGAATAGAAATTTTGCAGATTGAATTTAAAAAAGGTCATGTATGCAATGATAGTAATAAATTTCACAAAAAATGTCCTACACAATTTTCTGCAGGGCAAAGGCTCTTTATCCCTCACACTACCGGGATCCGCTTGCCTTCGCCTCCTTAACGGCGTTTATGCCTTACTAAGAAAATAATTTGAAAATCTTTTTGTTTTTCTTTTTGTATGATAGAAGATAATCAACCAATTAAATGGTTAAGGATTATACTATCAAGATAATTGAAGCTTCTCTGAAGAGTCCTCTAACGTCGGTTCCCTGAAAATGCTCAAAAACCCCTACGGTCAACCCAGAATCTTCAAATTCATTGTTCAAAACTGCATAACTTCACAAAGAATCAACAAGAAGAGCAATCGATATTCACGATCATTCCCATATCGATCGAAATCTTTCCCAATACACTATGACTGATCCCAAAAAGGATTTAACCGGAGTTAAAGTCGTTTCATAGTAAGCAGCGCTGGTTTAGACACCGACGATCTAAAAATAGCCAAATAGGATTGAGTTCGCCCGAGTCTTTCCTCCTTTTTTCTTTCAGATAAAAACGATGAATCGGAGGGAGTTCCAATTTTGGCTCGCGGTCTCCATCAGTTTCCATTTTCGTTCGATTTGCCTCAGACCACTTTGCCATGTTCGTTAGAAAGCCGGCACGGTACCATACGATATTATATCAAGGTGAGCTATTCGGAGGTTTAGTCATAGCATCGAAAGTAGTCTGAAGCTGCTGCCGTTCGAGAAAATTCTTGACGCAAAACAAGATTGATCTTCTGTCTATGTTCGGGGTAAATATGGTTAATACGATTGAAGAGGATTAAGAAGAAGAGAAGGACCATGTAATTGACGTTAGAAATGTTTTTTAAATAGCTTGATAAGCCTTCTAAGCTCATTAATTACGAATTTCATGATATATAAATAAAGTACTAAGCATGCTTTAAAACCCCAGGATTCGGTTTCCTCTTCCGAGCAGGGCCGTAGACACTCAAATGCGGTCTATTTAATTCGATACTTTACAATGCACCACAGTACCAGGGTCATAAACCTCCCAGACATAACGAACAGTAATAAACTGATGATGAGTTTCAAGACAGGAAAGCTTTATCTGCGGACAGTGGATCTCCGGCCCTTCTAGACAGTCCCAGGTGACTCATGCTTAGTGGGAGTAGAAGGGGAGAGGTTTCCCGAGCCACAATGTAGGAACCCGAATAGTGAGGTAAGCTAGGATCGACTCTAATATCCGTATAAGTAAAAAAAGCGGAAAAGCTCACCTCTTGAGCTGACAAAATGGCCTTCTATGATGGTTCAGGCAAACGGAGATACCAAGTCGTAAGTTTTTCGAACAATGGTATGGATACCGACATAGCTAGAACAAGTAGCTTCTTCCTCATTCGAGGTAGGCCGGTATTACTCTTTGATGTGCTCTAAAGGAAAAATTGCCTTCATTCAGTTTGAAGATCAATCACTAACGGATATAATGAAAAGCAAGAAATGGGGAGCCATCCGAAAAAGAGAATAACAGCACGAACTCTTATCATCAAAAGATTAACCGTTGATTAGGCAAAGTAGTCAAGAAATTTGGAGTATGAAACTAACAATTAAATTAGGGTGAGGATTGTGTGGCATACTGTGTAGTAGTAGCGAAAAATCTGATTTGATTGGGACAATGATCGACTGTGGGTCATGAATCCGTAGGTGTGGTCTCTGACCATTTTACGGATACTGTTGAACCCCTCCTACATGCATGAGTAAGATTTTCTTCGATAAAATGGAATTGCTTGGGTGAGGATTGTCCTGGTGTCGCCATAGACTCGCAATCCCGGGGCCGAGTGGGCCAAAATACGTTATGGTCTACCAGGACTAAAGTCCTCAGCTACTTTGTACCGAATTCGGGGGCACTGCCTTCCCTGCAAGAGAGTATAGAATTCATACGCATTCAAACACTACTACCATTCTGTATGGAGATCCAATGCTTGGGCGCATTCCAACGAGGGATTGATTATGCAAGAACTTTATCAATCATTCTCTATAGAGCCATTCCTAACGAGGGATTCGGCTCGTGATCTGTTTTCATTATAAAGTGCCATACCAAATGTCAAAGTTGTAGAATCTTTTCTAAAAGAAGCCCCTGTAGGTTGTAGAGGAAGCCTTATAGAATTCTGCTGATTTTCCACTAGAAAGATGAGGTTTCTTGACGGTCTACTTGGTCCGACTACTTACACTTGTTGATGCTTTTCTTTTCTAAACAAAAGGAAGGCCTGATTGACTGTGACTTCAACGAAGCCATGAATATAAAGGTTTTCAAATCGTGCTAATTCGAAGCATGCGAAATAACAAGTCCTGCTAAGTGTTGCAGGAGCATCAAAAGAATAAAATTTTCGAATGCTAGTCAATCCCATGCAAGAAAGCGCCCCGCGTTTCACTTCCTTTGGAATAGCGGGGCCGCTTGATTGTGAATTCCACTTATACAATGATTAGCTGTGTCCAGCTGACGTACCAGTAGTGCTCTAATCCTTCAAGACGAGTTTGGTACCAAGTAAACGAACCCGTAGTGATGGAAGGCTTGGTTGTCCTAAGCGGATATTGTTATAATACTTGATCCAGGACCATGTTCCCACCCAGTAGCATTACTAATTGCAAAACAGTCGAGAAAGCTTGAAGTCTAGTGAAGGAACAGAAAAAAGAACTCGCCTCCAACGTGCGGCTTCTACGCTCCCTACAAAAATGATGGTTCAAATCGAATCCCATAAAGTCGGCAAGTGGTTTTCAAATTTTGTACAGGCCTAACAGGGGTCTCTAGAGCTGCCTAAAACAGCTTGGCCGTTACTGAGATATGAGTCGAAAAAGACATTTTTTACCAAAATTAAGCAGTTATTGCTATATCTACCCTTATCGCCGTTAGCCGTTTGCTCAGCATGAGATATGCCGTCCTTTGAGACTGACTCTCGTCACCTATACTTGATAAAGAGGATAAGAGAGGGTGAAGAAGGTCTCATTAACATCAACGTCTGAAATCAAGATAAAAAACTATATACCTAGTAATCACGAAAACTAATAGAAAAAAAAGATCTCGCCTCCAAGGTGCGGCTTCTACGTCCCAATCCCAAAACTATGGTTCAGATCCTATCTCATAAGGTTGGCGAGTTGGGGGCAAAATTTCAGCTTCGGACGGGGCTCGAACTCGGACTTGTGCTTGTCGGGCATCAATTCAATAGGGTCCATTTTGGCTACAATCTTTGGATCGATCGGCTAATATTGGGCCATTAGATTGCATTACTACTAGATGAAGCTTATAAATGGCTCAGTGCAGGTCAAGTTGCAGCACAGAGCTCCCACGCTACAGCAATCCTAAAAAACCAATCTCCGGGTGATCCCAACGATCTTGGAGGGTAGCATTAACTTTTTGATGAACAGAGATGACAACCCAATCAATGGGGATGCAATTTCTTCAGTGGAAAGGTTCCATGGTTTGTAATCACAATAAACTGAAAAAAAAATTGATAGGGTTGGATTTTTAACCTTAAAATATTCCTTTTGAAAGTATCTCAACAACGAGGGAAATTTTTTACCAGATACTCCAGTAAACGTAAAACTCTCAGGCGGAGAAAGCATGTCTTGCAGGAAATTAGGCTTTCCTCGGGCTTAATCTTCAGCTAATTGCTCCGGGTAGCTGCTAGATAGGCTTCGATAAGTGGGGCAATCTGATAGAACAGAATACATGCACTTCGCAACTTTTCAGAAGTTCTTCTTCCGATAGTATGAACTTTTCGCTGGGAGAAAAGACCCTCCGAATATTTCAGACACATTTCAGGTCATAATCGACATCCCGTACGCTTCTTCACCCCAAGGCATCAAATATTTCACAATTATTGGTCCACATTTGGATTGTATGGAAGAAAAGTATCTGGTAAGCCTCATTCTATGGAAAAAACTACCGAAATAAAAAAATGCCAGCAAATTTCTGCCAATTTAGAGCGCCTTATCTGGACAGGATCGTAAGACGACGTGCTGTTTGTGTTGCAGACGGGGAGCATTGGCGCTGAGGGTCGTACTTGATAGGACAGCTTATGTTTGTGGAGAGAATATTCGTGTCCGAGCACAGGTAATTCTTCCATCTCATACTTATCACCAATTATCCGCTTCAATGCTTCTGGCAGGGCGAGATTCAGCGGATAGAAAAGGTGGCGCTACCTTGGCTACCTATTCAATTAGGTTCTCACTAGGATTAGGGCCATGAAGCATCCGCTACTAAAAATAACTACCGAAGGCAAAACAAGTCTGTGTTCCCGTCAATGCTCATACTATCAGCTATTCCCAACGCATAGCGAGAGCTACCTTGTGGGCGATGTTGCCTAGGGTGTAGCGTGCTAAGGGCTTTACCGCAAACGTATGGGAGCTCTCCGCATCTGCTTACTGAATAGGGTTACTAGATGAGATTTTTCCGAAAATCCAAATGCTTGTCAGACTCAAGAAATCGTGATTTTCTATTCGTTGAAGGTGGAAAATCGGCAATCCTCTCAACAGATGATCTCGATTCGACTTATTCAACATGTGGAATTTTTCATTGATAAAGGTGTTCTCGGAGAAAGCAAAATGATCACATGCGTCGTCTTCGATCACAAGTAAGTGGTAGTTGGTTAAGTAGGATCAAATCAATGGAATTCGCTTTTCTTATCTATGACCTATCTTTTCTCTTTTCTCAGTATGTAACAATTCAACTACTGAAGAAGGCCTGTCAGAGTGGGTTGGGGAACTGCCCTGGCGAGTAAGTATGTTGGGGGGATGACTACGGCTATCCATCGTAGGCGGGGAAAAATTTTTTTAGTCAGCAAGGGGGAGTGCAACCACGCACACAGTTCATGGACCGAGTCCTGGACCAACTCGCCCAAGTCAATCGGGCTTCTTGAAGAGGGAGGAAAACCATTGTAAAAATGGTTCAAACGAAGAGCCTAGGAACTTGAGCCTAGTTTTTTTTT